GTGTTGTAGACGATAACTTGTGCTGAAGATCAGTGTCTTCTTTTTGATGCTCGGCGAGTTTAAGAATGTCGATTCCTTGGAAACTGTTCAAAGACGTTATGCGAAATAAGGCGTCTGCAACAACATTGTTTGCTCCAGAGATGTGTTGAATGTCAGAAGTAAACTGCGAAATGTAGTCCAGTTGACGAGAATCACGGGGAGAGTATTTGTCTGAATTAGAGCTTAGAGGGAAAGTGAGTGGTTTATGGTCAGTGAAAAGGGCAAACTCGAGACCTTCAATGTAGTGTTGGAAATACCGTACAGCACAATACATAACTTGGATTTCCCCACCGAATATGCTGTACCTCGATTCAGTTTCTGGCAACCGTCTAGAGGAAAATGCAAAAGGTGGCCAGGAGTGGTTAACTCATTATTATAAGACTTCTCTTATTGCTGAGTCAGATGCGTCTCTCGCGATACTAATGCATGCTTCAGTGTCCTGATGTGAAGGGATTGTTGCTTATGCAATAAGTTCCTTAACTGTGGACAATGCGTTTCGTGCGGTGTCGTTCAGATTGATTGATTCAGCATTTACACAAAGTTGGTCGGTTAGCAGTTTCATAAATAACGCGCATTTCCGTATGAAACGTCTATAGAAACTTACAAGGCCGTTTAACGTGCGTAATCGCATGACGGTGGTTGGTTCTGGCTAATCCGGAGTGGCCGCCATTTTGGTTCTAAGGGTTCGAGTGCCTTGCGCATCTAAAGTGATTACTCAGTAATATGTTAATGTAAACGTTAACTGACTTCGTACAACTGTAATAGATATTGTACAGTATAAGGAAATGAGCACATATTCACAAAGTTTCATAGCACGTTCTTAAAAATTTTGAAATACGAATGTTTCTGCTTCTTCAGTATTTTCAAACGGAAACTATGAAAATTAAATAGATACTATGTTGATAAGATAACCTTCGGCATTCATAATATGGTAAACATCGAGAACCCTTCGAAGTTTATCTACAACTTATCAAATATGAAGCTTAATAATATAGAAGCAGAAGCCTTATCACTGGGACTAAAATTTCATATACCAAAAACAAATACTGACAGGATCGATACAGAAGCTCAATTCGAAAGTCTGTTTGACCAGTTAAAGGATTTGCAGCCAATGAATGAGGAAAAGAAAGGATGGTTCAAATCAAAGTTAGTTGATATTGCAAACCAATACTTCGTGTCATCGACACCAAAGTCTAACCTCCTATCCAGAGAACATCTGACAGCCCTAAGAAACATCAAACAAAACAATGAGGTGATGATTTTACGACCGGATAAAGGTTCAGGAGTCGTCCTAATTAATAAAGCTGATTATGTCACTAAGATGAAGCAAATCCTTGACGATGAACTGAGATTCAAGGTAGATAAATCCCAAAAAGATTTAACTGATTCAACAGAAAAACGAATCAAAGGCATGCTTAGAGAACTTCTAAAAAGGAAAATGATAGGTTATTCTACTTATAATGCTCTAAAACTACGTGGGTCACGTCTGCCTCATATGTATGGTTTACCAAAATTTCACAAGCACGACGTTTTCCTTAGACCAATTCTATCAATGATAAACTCACCGTATCACAAAGTTGCACGCTGGCTAGCAGAAAAACTAGAACCGGTTCGTCGAAGATTAGCAACATATACGTTAAAAGATTCATTCCAGATTGCTGATAGACTAAATCGTACGAATGTTGCCGATAAGTTCATTGTTTCTTTTGATGTAACATCCTTGTTCACCAATATACCACTTCTTGAAACTATTGATATAATTTGTCAGAATTATGATCTCCTACCTTTATCAGCCCCGGAATTCAAAAAACTACTATTAATGTGCACAGCAGACGTTCAATTCCAGTTTAATAACACCATATATCGTCAGATCGACGGCGTAGCAATGGGAAGCCCACTAGGTCCAATTCTGGCAGATATTTTTATGGGGTATCTTGAAAACATGGTGCTTAAACAGACGATTAGCGAAACGACGGAATATTCCAGATACGTTGATGACACGTTTATTGTCTGTAACAATAAACAGCATGCAATCCGCATGCTAAAACACTTCAATAACGCTCATCCTAACATACAATTTACTATGGAACACGAACAGAATGACATGTTCCACTTTCTTGATGTTGCTATAAAACGTAGGAGAGACGGGACAGTCCAACGTTCGATTTATCGAAAAAGTACTTGGAATGGCATTTACCTGAATTTCAATAGCTTTTGTCCACTCAGTTACAAGAAGGCATTAGTTAAAACACTATTTTATAGGGCAGAAAAGATATGTACCACTGACAAACTCGAAGAAGAATTGATGAAAGTGGAAAAATGCCTGCGAGACAACTTTTACCCACAAAAGTTTATTGACAAGTATAAGAAGCGTAAAGAAAACAATACTGAAGTAATTACTGTCAATAAAAAACCAATAACTATAAGTCTTAACTTCAAAGGTGACGAGGTTGCGAACACAATCAACAGGAGACTGAATACTGCGCTAGCCAGAACTTATCCGGCAGCCAAACTTCAAATTCTGTATAAAACAACATGCTCAATAACTCAATCAAAAGTTGAATAGCATCCTTTTCATGTTACCGCCAATTGTATTTATAAATTTACGTGTACCTGCCAAAGCAGCTACATTGGTCGAACAGAAAGGAGGGCATATCTCAGATTTTTTGAACATGTTCCAAAAAGCCTCAGAACAAGAGAAAGAAAGACTCTAAATAGTGCAATCACCAAACATCTTCTTGATACAGGACATCAGGTCGATACCCTACAATCATTCAAGGTGATTAGTAAGCAGCCAAACTCCATTCTTCTGAAGTTTGCTGAAGCAGTTGCTATCAGGCGCCAAAAGCCTGATTTATGTGTTCAAAAGGAGATGGTTATTAATCTTTCCTTGCCTTGGTGATTAATATTCCTTCGTTATATCTTAATAATTTTTTTCCTTTTCTTTGAACTCTTTCTTGCATTTATTACACCATTATTTTATCAACTGAACTCTACTCATTTTATTCCTATCAAAGTTCATTTGTTTCTAACCGTTTGAACTGTTATCACAATGTTCTTTCATCACACAAGGTATATATTTACAATATTCAGTCTATTAAATTTATTTACACCCTTGCTATATTATATGAATATGTCTTTAATATAACTTCCAATCAAACTTTTTTTTATGTAAGTAATTTAAACCCATTAATTATGATTTTAAATATTACAGGTTGTAAGCAGCTGACGAGAACCAACGAAATAAAAATGAATTCATGCTATTCTGCTAGAATGTTTGTTCTTGCTCTTTTCAAAATGATAAAGGGAACTATGTGTATGAAATCGATCTTTATAAGGTTTTTTATTCAATTAGAAAAACCTCTTTATTGTATATTTCCTCACTTATCTTACCATATTCACTTCATATTTCAATAGAACACATGTGATGATATTGTGCGTTGAGAAATGAAGGCAAGTTCATAGCTCAAAATAACAGGAAGTGTAAATTAAGTACTAGGTTTCCTTAATGTTGTACAGCATCGAGAATTAGTACTATAAGTGAATTCATTAGTCAATTGAAACTAAACCACCATAGAAAACTCAGAAGCAGTGGATGACTGTTTCGTCCTATTGTGGGACTCCTCAAGCAAATCGCATCTACGACCATGCTTCGCCAGATTCGAACCTAGGATTTATTGGTTTCGTGCAAGAACGCTTAACCTCTAGACCATTGAGCCGGCCGGTATTTAATCCACAAAATCGAGCGATACATCCACCAATGTATTCAGTGAGTTACTATTTCACAACAGATCCGGTTGAAATTCACTGGTCACTACTTCTCATTAGAACTGCGGGAAATACCTCTTGAAGCCAGTCACTAGTGAGCAAATGCTGATTGATATCAAAAGGGAAATTGCATGTATTTTTGTTATTTAAATAGTTGAATTCGTTTGTCAACTGAAGCTAGACCACCATAGAAAACCTGGAAGCACTAGACGGTCGATTCAACGTTGTATGGAACTCCTCAGTTGTTTCAAGAATTAACGATCCATACTTACAAACCTGCAAGAAACAAACCTTATATATTGAGAGCTCTTGTAATGAGTCAAAACATTTAGGCAACGCAGTTTACATTCACTGATTTTACATTTCTAGTAATATTTCAAGAGGTTACAAAACCTACCTTCAGAAAATGCTGATATGTTAGCATTAAAATAATTATATAAACATGTGGCCCAATTTTGTGGGTTGGTTGAAGTTAGAGATTAACACTGTAGGAAGCAATTTCCTACAGATTCAACTCTAAGCTAATCTCTAGAATGTCGAGTACAGAGTCTTGGTTTAGCCAAAGTCAAAACAAGCAAGCTATTTGGCTAGATAAACATTATCTGTTTCTAAAACATAAATTAACATCGTTAGTGTACAAACAAACAGTACGGTCTATTAATACAGGGAAAAACAGAGACAAATAACATACCGAACAGCAGCCAGATAATAGGAAAAATGAGTCAACAAGTAAATATTGTTTTACAATGAACATCAAACTGTGATTGGTTAATAAAGATATACCGTCGTACAAGGTCAAAAAGAGTTAATGTGGTGGTGGGCGTTTCCCTTATTATTGGTGGGTTCGTCTATCGATCGCACTTTACACTACCCGCGAAACCCGCACCACGTCCGTTGTCCAAACACTATTGGATACCAGCTAACTCCGTGGTCTAGAGGTTGAGCATTCGCGCGCGAGAAATGAATTCCAATCTCACGGTGAGATCGTGGATGTACACTGCTGAGGAATCCTATTGTAGGACGAAAAGTTCGTCCAGTACTTCGAGCCTCTCCATGGTAATATAACTTCAATTAAATCATCATCTGAACTAATTAGACTACTTTTTATTCGAAATAGACATTATTTTATTGAACTACATTACAAAAATAGAATAAGAGTGAAGAACAAAACTCGGGGTCAACAGAAAGTTACAATGGTGGGTAGTTAACGCGTCATTCAATTAAATATAGTATATAATTATTGATTGAGTGTTCTTCTTTTCATTTGACTTGAATTACTAAACTTCTTGAATTAGTAAATCGTGATGAAGTAAAGGAAGGAATTTTTGTTCTCCGAGCTGGATAGTTTGGTTGTGGAGCTTTCATTGTTCATCTGAACGACATCATCAGAATTCTATATTGTACCAAAATATAATATTGAATAAAGCCATTAATAATAATAATAATAATAATAATAATAATAATAATAATAATAATAAAATTCAGATAGAAGTGAGTTATTCGAATTTCGCCACATGTGGTTCACAGCTTGTTATGTACACTTCGGTGTTGATTGATTCTTGTTGAGCTTGAACTTGCCATTGTTCAATTCTTTATTTTGGTTGTATCTCCCATTTATTTGATTTTTGTTCCTATATTTTTGTGCATAATTTTCCTGATTGATTGATATAATGGATCAACTGCAATGTGCTTGTTGATTGTTGATTAACCTAAGTGCCAAGCTTGTAAAAAATGCCTCTATCCAAGATTTTCACATTTTTCCAGTCGTATATGTGGCCTCAGATGTCCATATGCATTGATATAAGTGAAGATATGTAATCACTTTCGAGCACGTAAAAAGTTGTTTAAATCAAAGTTTGAGCAATTATTCCGGTTTGCCAACTCAACGATATTCTGTATTCAATGTATTGTACACTTTTAAAGATTCTATATACCCCTATTTTGGTGTGTGTTATTTATACGGACAGATATAAGTAGTATATATTAAAATTAGAATTTAGATTTTTACTGATAGAAGGGGAACATGAGAAGAGAAACAAAAGCGACAGTTCGATGATGATTTTACTTACCTGCATCGGTTACTCCCGATGGAGTATAGGCCGTCGAACAGTATTCTTCAACCAAATCTATCCTGAACCTTCTTTCCTAGTTTTATGCAATTGTTGTTCATTCTTTTCATGTCTGTCTCCATTTCTCAGCGTAATGTGTTTTTTGGTCATCCTCTTTTCTTTTGACCTTCAGGAATCCAAGTGAGGGCTTGCGCTGTGACACAATTGAGTGTTTTCTTCATGTAAAGATCATAAATAACTCATAGATAAAATAATGCTTAAACATAAATTACCATGATCACGAGTTAGGTTGGAAGCAATGATTAAAATATCATTGAAAACTTGGAAGATTCTTTGACTAAAAGAATCTATTTTAGGAACCAAAAAGCTTTACTCATACTCATATACTTGAAGATGTTTTGCTTAAATTGTAACTACTGTTTGTCATTCTAGATGTTTTAAACTATTTTCTACTTATAAATATAATAAATACTTCATGATTTTTATTGTTATCATTATTAGCTTGATGATGAAACAAAACGAGCAAATGATCTAGAAAGATCTTTAATTGAAAGTCGTTCACAACTAGTTGAATTCAATACAATATTAAGACAATTAGAAGTTCATTATCAACAAGAATTGAATCGTGTACAATCATCACCACAAAATGAATTTAAGGTAAGTGATATTTGTTATAGAGGTTAGGCGTTTGCACATGACACCGATAGGTTCTGAGTTTGAATCCTTTGAGCAAGATCGTGGATGCATACTTCTCAGGGGTCTCATACTAGGACTAAATGACCGTCGAATGCTTCCAGGTTTTTCATGATAATCTAACTTCAATTGACTCATGCATTCAACAATTAAATTTTCTATAAATAATACGTTTTTTACAGATAATCACAAGCTTCATTGCTTATGATTATATTTCGAAAATTAAAGAGAAGAGATATAACTAAAAGTGTACTGAATACTAAAGTCAAATTTAGTTCTCATAACTCATTAGCAACATCATTTACTGAAGAAGGATCAACTATTCCATTGTGGAAAATATATTGTATTAATGAACATCAGAAACCATGTAAAAAATGTTTAGTAGTTTTACTTGAAATTGTTGTCAGCTAATTATAATCTGGATGGAATTAAAAAGATCGATGAATCAATACAAAACAATTCCATCACTTAATAGACATAGTCATTCAGTATCAACATAGAACTTTGTACGTACGTACATCAGTTCAAGTTGCCATATTACATTAGCACAGAGATACAATTGTCCATTCAAATCTCATAGCGGTAGAGGTAATAAAAATATAAATAGTATTCGGAAACATTAGGGTTTAAAGATGTTATTCAAGGAGTATAATCCACTGAAATAAATTTGGGAAAAAAAATAAGGGACATGAAGAATCCAGCAGATTAGATTTTTGGAGAACACAAATTATGGATGCACCTGCGTCATTGTAAACGATTTTGATCCATGCCATTCAGGTCTCTAACACTCGGTTGCTATCGTCTCATAGATCCTAACCAGGTAGTATACATCTACCAATATGGCTCACTCAGTTCATTTGTCAGTGACATTCTTGGATTTCTACCATGTTTTGATCTAGCCACCTCCAGCTTTCTCCCAACCTACTCCTACACCATAAAACATAGCTCGTTGGGGCCATCAATGGTTGGGCATACGTAACCCATGTACCAGTCATCTCAACTGATGAAGTTTCACTACTTCACCAATTGATTTGCCATTCTTACCTAGTACCCGTTCCCTAACAACTGCATTACTTACTCGGTGGTCCCAAGGTATACATTTAATAGACATAGAATGACATTAATTGTGTGCTACTTAAATACTGACTAAGTAGTAAAGTTTGTTTGTATTGTTTTTCCTTCCTGATTTTCTATGTAGGATAAAATACGTCATCTTGAACAAAAACTAAATGATGCCTTTCTGAGATCAGAAAGTGATCGATATATAAAAGATAAACAAACTGGTAAAAATGATTTACTTTTAAAAGAAAATCGAACTTTAAGTAATGAATTGGAAAAATTAAGAAAACTAGCCGAAGAAGTATGTTATATTCATTTACAAATGATAATTTAATTGATAACAACAAAATAGTACTTCATCAATTTAGTAGGTAATAGAGTCTTACTAGAAACATTGAAATAATACATAAAAAATTTGATTGAACTCCATGAAATCATCAATAATTTATTGTAAGCATAAAGGGTACAAGATTCTCAGTAATAAGATAAATTCTAAGCATAAATGGATAGTAGCTAGCAGTGAAATCCAGGACGCGCATTACTTGTTGTTTGTGACTCATCAGCTGGACGCTTATGCATCTCAGAGTTGATATTCACTCTGAGACTCAAACCCAGTACCGTTCGCTTCAAACACCACCTTTGCTTGGAATGCTTATGAATTAAGGCATTACACAATATGCACATATGCTAATAAGAGACTCATCACTTGAAGTCCGAAACGTTAATGGGAAGATTCAAGTAAACAGATTTAATTCATTACTTATTTTTATGGCTTCACATTAAATCTACAATTGGTTAGAAATTAAGCGAAAGACTTAAGAAAGTGACAAACTTTAACTTAAACTCTTCGATCATAATAAACAAGTTAGTATTAATAGCGAGAAATCAGTGTTCACCTAAGATCCATATGAAATACGGTAGAGGTGAATTAGTGAATAAAACACTTAACTTCCAACTGGTATGCTACAGGTTCGAATCAAGCTCTTCCTACTTTGATTTAGGCAGCTGAGTAGTGCTGCAAACCATCATACAGCCAATATGTGCCTCAAAGTTCAGCATATAAATTTTTACATGGCACATGCGTTAGCCAATCATATGCGATCGAAAAGATAAAAGGAATGCCAACTTTTACCAATACTTACTAATGGACCACCCTACTCAGTTGACATCTTTTGTATATTTTTTTCTGACAGCGTTTTTGATTGATAACTTTGTAATGTTAGTCATTAGTTTCAGCCCATAATATATCTTATTCTAGTTTCCGGACATTCCATTCTGTTCATTCTACTTGAGTCACGTTTTGACCTTGTTAATTATTCGCTTGTCAGTCTTGACTGTTTTTATAAGAGCGTATATGTGTGTACACTTCATGTCCCGTGACTCATCACATGTCTTTAGTTTATCTTGTCTGCCTATAAATATCGAGTGATTACTTACTTACGCCTGTTACTCCTCGTGAAGGAGCATAGGCCACTTACCAGCATTCTCCATCCAACCCTGTCCTGGGCAGTCCTTTCTAGCTCCGTCCAGTTGTAATTCATCGTTTTCATATCTGCTTCTATTATCCGACGCAATGTGTTCTTTGGCCTTCCACGTTTTCGCTTCCCTTCAGGATTCCAAGTTAGTGCTTGTCTCGTGATGCAGTTTGACGATTTGCGTAATGTATGTCCTATCCATTTCCATCGTCTTTTCCTAATTTCTTCTTTAGCTGGAAGTTGGTTTGTTCTCTCCCACAGAAGACTATTGCTGATGGTATCCGGCCAATGGATGTTTAGTATCTTGCGTAGACAGCTATTTATAAATACTTGTAATTTCTTGATTGTGGTTGTTGTAGTTCTCCAAGTTTCAGCTCCATAAAGTAGAACTGCCTTGACGTTGGTATTGAAGATTCTCACTTTGATATTGGTTGAAAGTTTTTTTGAGTTCCATATGTTCTTTAACTGTAGGAATGCTGTGAATGATTCTACATCTTCCAGAGTTACGCCATCAAGAGTGATTGGATTGCTGTTCTCCGCTTTGAATTTGAGGACTTTGGTTTTCCTTTTGTCTATGCTGAGGCCTACTGATGCAGAGACTGCTGCTACACTGGCTGTCTTCATCTGCATCTGTTCGTGTGTATGCGATAGGAGGGCTAGGTCATCTGCGAAGTCCAAATCGTCTAATTGATTTCGAGCTGTCCATTGAATCATTCAGTTCACTGAGACTCATCAAGAGCGGCAAAGCAGCGGGACCAGACACTTCAACAGAGGTACTGAAAGCAGATATAGGAGTAACTGCAAAAATACCCCACATTCTCTTCAGCAAAATTTTGGATGAAGAACAAGTATCATCAGGTTGGGAAAAGAACACCTGATAAAAATAGCAAACATAGGCGATCTCAGCAAGTTTAAGAACTACAGAGGCATCACTCTTCTCTCAACAGCAGTAAATATCTTAATCAGGGTGTTGCTGAACAGAATGAAAGACTCTGTAGACGCACAACTTCGAGACCGACAGGCTAGATTCCGTAAAAGTCGATCGCGTAATGACCAAGTTTAAACACTACGGATCATTGTGGACCAATCAATTGAATGGGATTCATCATTCTACATCAAATTTATTGACTAAAAGAGAGAATTTGATAGCGTGAACAGAACAACACTATGGAAGCTTCTTCGACACTTTGGCGTGCCTCAGATAATAATTATTATCATATGGAATTCCTATGATGGAATAAACTGCAAAATCGTGCATAGAGAACAGCTCATAGACTCGTTCGAAGTAAAGACCGGTGTCAGGCAAGATTGCTTACTCACACCCTTTCTCTTTTTGCTGATGACCGACTGTATCATGATGACGTCAATATCTGAGACGAAGAATGGGATACAGTGGACAGCTAGGATGTAACTGGACGATCTATACCTCGCGGATGATCTGGTTCTACTATCGTTAACGCAACAACAAATCCAGAAGAAGACTACCAGTGTAGCAGCAGCCTCAGCAGCAGCAGTAGGTCTCACTATACACAAAGGGAAAGGCAAGATTCTCCAATACAGCACAGCATACACCAATCCAGTCACACTTGACGGAGAAGCTTTTGAAGATGTAAAAATCTTTACATATTTGGGCAGCATCATTCATGAATATGGTGGATCTGATGCATATGTGAAGGCGTGGATCGGCGACGTAAAAGCAGTATATTTACAACTGAAGAACATCTGCGGCTTAAAACAACTGTCAAACAACACCAAGTTCAGAATTTTCAATACAAATGTCAAAAGAGTTCTACTGTATGAGGCGGAGACCTGGAAAACTGCGAAAGCCAACATCCAGAAGATACAGGTCTTTATTAACAGTTGTCTACGCATAATACTTCGTGTCCGTTGACCAGACACTATCAGCAACAACTTACTGTGGGAGAGAACAAATCAGATCATAGCGGAGGAAGAAATCAGGAAGAAGCGTTAGAAGTGGGTAGGACACAAACTGAGGAATGCACACAACAGCGTCACGAGGCAAGCTCTCACTTGGAATCCTCAAGTCAAAAGGGGGAGAGGAAAATCGAAGAACACGTTTCGTGGAGAAATGGTGACAGATATGATAAGAATGAACAACAATTTGATACAACTAGGAAGAAAGGACCAGGATAGAATGGGTTGGAGAATGCTGTTCGGGGGCCTATGCTCATTTGGGAGTAACAGACATAAGTAAGTAAGTTCATCTCACAAATATGTGTACCTAAATACCATTAAAATAATAATAATTGACTCAATATTTTTATCTTCCGCTCAGTCTCAGTCTTTATTTGAACGAAGCCAATTTAAACAAACAGAAGATATCGCCGAATTGAACCGATTAAAACAACGAGAAAATGAATTAATGCATATGAATGCAATGCTTCGTCAAGATGTATTGCTGAAATCTAGAGAGAACGAAAAGCTTCAGCAAGAGGTATGTGAAAAAGGAGGTTATATTTCATTGATGCAGTAACTATTACAAATGATTAGTTATCATTCGTAATTCCACCAAGAAATAAACTCAAAAGCTTCAGATCATGCGGTGAGCATATAACCGTCGGATTACTGGATCGGTATGCTACGATTTACATTTCTAACTTTGATCAACTTGCGATAGAGTAAGACGATCACTTCATGTCATTTGGGATGACTGTTTTGAGTTTGACACAACTGGGATTCACTGAGACTCATCTACAAACAAACCACTAACAAGCACAAGACGTTTTAAAAGTTAAGTGGAGCGAGTTCTCCTTTGTATTTGATTTATGCCACAGATTGACTTGAATATCTTGTCTTTGATTCCTCGTAATGGTTGTAGGTGCCCACTACGAAGGCATTTTACTCTGAAACAAAACAGGTCTCTGATAGTTTTATATGCTCCAAAAATCATCATTGTATAAGGTGTCTGACTTCGCATGGATATAGAAAAGCTCTTCTTTCTTAAGTAAAACCCTTTCTTTTCTATCGTATTAAAATGTTAAGGGGCTATTGCGGTTGAAGTGCTGCCTTCACAAGCAGAAGCAACTAGAGTAGGCAAGAATAATAAAAGGAGACCATTATCCAGGTTTAATCGGCTAACAGTATGATACTTCAAAACTTAAAGTTCATTTGTCGGTCTAACATCCGTATCTTTTGTTTGAGGACCAGTTCAATTATTCATCTACCAACAACATTGACGTAGTTCGTTGCAATAAACCCCATTGTTAAACGATCTTGGTCTATATTCATGCTAAAGACGCAACAAATTTCTTCATTAATTGGTATTACTAATAACCTTATTTTATGCTTTATTAGATTATTTTAAAATAAATATATTGAAATCATTTCTGATGCGTAACATTGACAGATGATCAATAATAAGAAGTAGTATATCATAAATGTATCCTTATGGTCTTTAAATAGTTTACATCTTTTGGCCTCACGCTATAGACGAAGGTGACTGAGGTTTGAGGAGAACTTTGTAACTCATTTTAATTCATGAATTATAGACACATTTTAATCACAATTAGTGTGAAATCACCCAGACCAGATAACACATTGTCACATATTTGTGCAGCCTCAAGATTTTAAGCATGAATGTCTAAAAGTTGATAAAAATAAATATTGCCTCATCTTTATGAATGAATATGTACGACTCATCTCACAGACCAATAATAACACGCATTTCTCCAAAATGTAATAATGTTCTACCAACATCATGGTGAAAGTGAGTGTTGTTTATTATTTCATTTCCTTAACTGCATCGTGGAAAATGTGATTAATAATTTCCTCAACAAAATCATCACAACACAAAATGTTGGATTTCTGAAGTTTATCACATACAGCCCACAGTAGTTTTAAAGCACATAACTACAATTTACATTAGTACTTTTTGGTAGTTTTTAAACGTGATCATTTACTAAGTACCTTTTATGCTAATTGAATCAGCTTGCTTATCATCAAGAAAAAACGTCTGATAGCTTGTTATCAGGAAAACAAATCCAACCGGATTTAACTCAACAGTTTGAAGCTTTGAAGAAGGAACGTCAAATATTTATTGAAAATATGAAGAAGATTAATGAGGAGGTATGTCTCATATACGTAAAATAAACACATTCCTAGAAATAAAAAGATGCTTTAGAATATGTCAGATAGATTATACCTCATCCTTATCAATTTGACGTAACTTAGTTGTAATATTTTAGCAGATCTTTTACAGCCATGAACTCATGCACTTGCGCCTGACACCCCTCGTGAAGTAGCATAGGCCTCTCACCGGCATTCCCCATCAAAATCTGTCCTGGTAAATTCTTTCCAGTTGCTATTCATCATTTTAATGTCTACTTTCGATTCTCGATGCAGTGTGTTCATTGGTCTCCTTCTCTTCCGTCGCTCTTCCTGATTTCACGATAGGGCTTTCCTCGTGATGCAGTTTGGTGATTTCCGTAATGTATGTCCTATCCACTTCCAAAGTCTTTTCTTAGTTTTATCTTCAGATAGAAGCTGATTTATTCTCTCCTACATTACACTGTTACTGATGGTATCCGGTCAACAGACACTGGGTATCTTACGTGGACGATTGTTTATAAATACTTGTACATATTTGATGATCATTGTAGTCGTTCTCCATGTTTCAGCTCCATAGAGTAGAACTCTCTTGATGTTGGTAATGAAGGTTTTGACTTTGATATTGATTGACAGTTGTTTTGAGTTCCATATGTTCCTAATCTGTGGAAATGCCGCTTTAACGTTGTCATTGCTTGCTTTTATATCTGCACCAAACTCTTCTCGCTCATCGATCACACTGAACATGTCATGTACATGAAAGTTTCTACCAGTTGCAGGGTGTTTCCATCAAGTGTGATTAGGTTGTTCGATGTTCTCCTTGTTGTATTTGAGGATGTTGGATTTTCCCTTGTAAATACTGAGGCCAACTGCCGCTACACTAGTTATCTTCATTATCATTTTTTCATGTGTATAAGACAGAAGAGCTAGGTTGTCTGTGATGTCTAAATCGGCTATTTGTATCCAAGCTGTCCACTGTATTATGTGCATCCCTTGAGATGTGCAGGTCTTCGTAATTCAGTCAACCACTAAAAGAAAGGGAAAATGAGTAAGCAGCCTTGTAGCTGTTCTATAGCATGTATCTCTTCTAGCGTTACTTCCGATAGTAACAACGATTATCTTTATCTAGTAAATGTTATATTAACTACAAGTACAGGAAACAGTAGTATTAAGAATTCAAATAAGGTCATGACATGTTACCTCATAGTGTTGTACATTTCTTTCAATTCTATTTGACAGCAATTAGTATGTGTAATAAAGTTCATCACATATACATTAAGCACCGCACACACAGTTTAAACAACAAACCTTTTGACATATAATAAGCACATTAAACAGTGTTAAAAATGAATTCAATTATTTCTTTATACAAATGCTCGATTTCAGATCGCTGAACAAAAAATTAAAATTGACCGGTTAGAGCAAGAGAAAACCAAACCTTTAAATAATGATAGTTGGATAAACAAACAAACTAATGGCAATGATGATATACAGTTATGTACTTATTACCAAATAACTAGTGACATGCCTGAATATCTTGCTGAAAACCACAGATAGATGTTCTTATCTGTAGTAGCCGGAGAATCATAAAATATATAATCGACCTGCATCGGAGAGCAGTGACCGGATAACAGATGTCAGTTCTGTACCGTTATATTCTGTAGCACGCTGTCCTATCATAACCGGGCCACTTTTCTTTTTTCACAAAGTCACACTACGCTACTAATTTTACAGGACGTTTCACGAGACTGCAAGCGACTTTATTTGTCATTTCAGTGTCGTCAGTCAAGCGAATCTGGTGCCTATCTATAGTTTTCGGTGGATTAGTAGCTAGTATAGAACCTATCCCTGCACGCCACTCTTTTGCTACGAAATATCAGCATACTACATAGCATAATCGCAATTCAACTAAGTTCTTCAAAAGAAAAGCGTCTTGCACGAAAGCAAACTATTGATAGCTGGGTAACAAAAATAACTTTGCTTACGATAAAAATGGTTTAAGAACGTTAGCGTGTAAGTGAATCATGCCCTTCATTGTCTTGATTAGTATTTTTTTCGCATGTGATCTGGAATACTACTCGGACACACAAAATGGAGCAGAGAGTGTTTTAGGGTTCCACTCTTATATTCAAGTGATTAATCTACAAGATTGTAAGGGAATGTAGATGCAGTTTCATAGTATCAATTGAACAAAATAAGTTCGTATTTTATTTGTTCCCTTTTCACTGTAAAGCCTACATACACTATTGGTTTTGGGTCCATGTTTTATGAATCCACTAAATGGGTGCTCTGAATCGATCAGGATAAATTAAGCACCGTACGTCCTAATTTTCTTCTTGAATAAAGATATAATGCGTCTGATTATTCACAATTCTGGCTTCAGTGACAATGAGCGGAACTCCGCTTACTTCAGTTTTTTTTGCTGGATAGTATCATTACACCACACACAATCAGTGTGATTCAAGGCTACATAAATAAACCTATAACATTCAAACGAATTGCACGTACCTAGGTCTGAATGCGCAGAAGAAACTATTTCACTTTGAGTCGACATTGGAAATCAATCATAAGCAATAACCTCAAGCGCTCTTTTACAGGCTGGATTCCTTCTCCCTCTGAAAATCCCCTCGTGCGTTCACTCATTCATAAACACTGTCCGAGAAGTTCTACTCATTGTTCTTTAAGATAATTGGAGAATGGAGAGTGTATGTCCAGCGCTTATATAACATTTGTAGAAAACGACTGTTCGCCTAGTAAAAGAGAACCCCGATCCCAAATCAACGGTGCAAATGGGGTCCAGAATATAGAGGAGGTATATGGAGTGCGAGCCTCTATTTAGTCATTGGGGACGACTGTACTGGGTCCCCCGAAGAAACCCCATTGGCTCATGGATAAGACCTTTGGATCAAAAGGTCCCTAAGGTAACCACGTGCTAGCACAAGGCTTCCGCACACGCTGAAGTACTTATCCGGACTCTGATCACACCCTGATTTGAATCAATCTCATCTTACCTTTCACTGACCAATAAATTTGTCGTTCTGAGAGGATTAAAGGAAGTAAATTGGCTGTGACTTCCGTGACAACCAAGTATCAAACCGAGATATGTAAAACACTAGCGGTTATCCTACCAAAAAGCATAGATGAACACTGGCCACATTCGCATAACTCCACAGAAATGACGATTAAAATCCCTTGCTATTTGGTTAGATGTTCGGTTTATAAATACTAGGTTTCTACAGGTACCTCACAAATCGTTAAGACATGTCAGCCTAATAAAGCTAACTGGGAATTTGACATTAAATTACCGACACATTTATCGCATCCCAACAGTTGTGTTTCCTCATATCATGATCAACTTTGCCTCATTGAGGAATATCCCCCGGAATTATCTGCTCAAGCAGGGTGTGTCTGAGAAGTTAATTAACATCTTGAAGGTTCACTACACAAACATCTCAGACAGTAAGTACATAAAACCAATTTGTTTTACATTATTCCATTCCAGAATCGACTTAGGTAGGTGTGGTTATTCTCTTCATTCCCATTCAACTTTGTCATTGAAGAAAGATCTGATAGGAATAGATAGGGGTGGTAGTTTGCTAAAAGGACACATAATTCTAATAGCCCAAGTTAATGAAGACTTACCACTTTATATATCGACTTGTCATCTTTATCCAATATCTTGAGTCTATCCTTTGCATCGCTCATTCGGTAGTTCCAACATACGTGAGCAATACTTTGAAAATACTTGTGACTAGATGGTATTAATCCACAGGTCAAACTAATGTGAAGTTGGAAGATCGAAAATTTCACTTATGACACAGGTACCATAAGCTGAAAGAGTCAAGGGGTTTTTCTGAGGAACCGAAAGTTGAGTATTTGAGAAACCAACATCTTACAACTGGAAAAATCATTTGTAAGCGCGAGCTTCTTGACAGGTTAGTAATCTAATGTATCTATCCAAATATTTGTTGAGTATTTCACTTGATATTCTACAAAAATAGTCAAGTAAACAACATGAACAAAAATGTACTCTCACAAAAGTTGTCCATAAAAACTATTTATTAGGCCAGTCTGTCAATGATATTAGACACAGTAACAGCTAAAGCTATTACACAAATATACACATATGTACATAACTATTTACAGACTGATCTTAAGCCTGGTTGAGTCAATAAAAATAAACTAAACATCAGTACAATACTTTTTCACTCAAAATCATGTTAGTAGTGCAGAGGTTTGGCGCCGTGTGTTCGGGAGCAGAGACGATAATCCAATTGGTGTCGCCATCTTGAAACACTGACCTCGGTGACTTGAACATTTACTTTGAATGTCGTCTCAGTGAACGCCATGTCGTGCATTATTCGCCATACACAAATCTGTGGTCTATTGTTATTTTCTTATACGCACCTTAAGTTCCTATACTCTTTGCAGTCTCATTGTTCTGTGTGGTGCATATATATCTGGTGCCCCCTTGTACCAATATTTATGTGTTCAAATAAATAAATAAGAAATAAATTGTGAGAAATTAGGATAACGATTTACGGTTGATGGTTAGAGTAAGGAGTTAGACTGCGGGTTTTCATCACAAACTTGCGTCATCCAAACTGCTAAAGCTCTATTTTGTCAAATGGATGATTGAATTTCGCGCCAAAATCCAAAACCTATTACTCTGAATACGATTGGTACCATCTTAGTACCTCGTCGTTGGACTCTTTCCAGCATTTCTGCTTTATAATTGAAGCAAGGACTTGCTACTTGAGTTTGATATTCGAAATGTGGTCCACTGCCTTGTGGGTTAGACCTTTAGGTCAAAGGCTCGGGGTGTGACACCCTAATATAACCACTTGCTTCGGCCTGGGCACCCGGGAAGTATCAAAGCCCACACACAAATGATGAAATGCCTATAATTATGGAAACTACTTTTCTTGCTTCAACTAACAATCAAATGATTCAAATTATTATTATTACTATTATGGTTATTATTATTACTATTATTGTTGTTGTTATTTACTACATCATCATTAACCTCTTTTATTCCTACTCTGTCTATACTTATTTTTTCGACGTATACAGCAGCTCCTCTATGGTGGAAATTTGACTCTATCTAAACGTTCTCGAGTCACTGTCCGGTTGAAAATTATATGCTACCACCTAATACGAATACTGAAGCAGTTTTTCTGAAACCACGTGCACCATTCAAACTATCTGCCTTCAACGTTCACGCACTTATGCAGTTCGGACAACAGATAGGGCTGGCTGCGTCTTTGGAAAGTCTTAATATGGACGTTTTTTGTCTATGCGAGACCCGTATTCAAGACTCTGGCGAAGTACTCCATCTGTCGCTTCGAAAAGCTTGTTATACGTGCGTTTATCCGGGGACCATGTGGCGTCTTCGTCTGGTCTTGCTAGCGTTGGTGTCACACTAAGCGATAGAGCTGAGGCAGCACTAATCGGTCGGATCCCCATTACCAGTCGGTTGTATGCTGTTAGGTTAGAAAGCTCCATCAAAGTGAGAAGAAATCGGTGTGAGAAACAATGTCTGTTCGTCATCTCGGCCTACTCCCCGACAGATTGCAGCCCGGATGCAATCAAGGATGAGTTTTATCACCGGTTATCTGTTCTTCTCCAGAAAGTGCATTATTGTGCGCTATTGTAGTACTAGCCGGAGACTTGAACGCTCAGGTCGGGCGTCTAGGCACAGAAGAGAGTCGTTTAGGTGGCCGATGGGGACTCGTTGGTCGCAGGTCAGATAACGGGGACCGTCTACTGCAACTATGCACAGACCACAACCTGTTTCTGGCTAGCACCAACTTTCGTCACAGTCATCGACGATGTACCACCTTACGTCCTCCCTCTGCATCTCAACTCTGGACTCAGATTGATCACATCGCGATAAGCTACCGCTGGCGTGGTTGTGTAGAAGACTGCCGCTCCTTTTGGAGTACCTATCTGGACTCTGACCATGCCTTGGTCTGTGCAAATTTTACCTTACTTTTCAGTGGTCAACGAAGTGACTGCCATCAACGGATTGTTATTTGCAAGCTGTTTGCAAATTCTGTTGCAAGTAATTATCGAACTGTGCTAGCTTCTAAGCTAGCTACCATTCTACCGAAAAGCATAGATGAGCATTGATCGCAATTGCATCAAACCATGTAAATGGCGGGTACAGTCAGTTGTGTGTTCGCGAAACGTCTCGCTTATAAGCACTGGGTTTCTTCAGGCTCCTTACAACTCATTGAAGCCCGTCGGTCTACTCTGGGTGACCATGAAAGTGACCATAAACGAAGGATGTTATGTAATGAAATTGAGGAAATCTTGCGTAAGGACCGAGAAGCCTGGTGGTCGAAGTGTGCTAATGAGTTGGAAGCAGCAGCTGCATCTAGTAACTATCAGATGCTCTTCCAACTCATCCGAGCCACTGGCAGCAAGAAGTCTAGTGTGAGCGAGACAATCTGCGAGGATGATGGGATGCCAATCACTAACATCCATGGACGTCTTGGACAATGTGCAGAATTTTTCGAAGGGCAGTTCAACTGGCCTGCTGCTCCGGCAACATC